ATTGTCAGAGAAAATGTTGATGATGGCTCCTTCTGCCCCCTGCTGGTGGGAATGTAAATGCTTTTTTATTAATAACATTAGAAGATACTGCATGATGTTAATATTTGACCTTGCTATATCATGGTAATGCTGTACTTCCGCTGTGGAAATAGTCAGATGTGTGTGAAGAGCTACACATTTTATTAATTTTTAAAATGATTTTTTTCCTGTGCATTGTGTCTGTCTGAGGGTGTCAGATCCCCTGGAACTGGAGTTAAAAGACAGTTGTGAGCTGCAGTTCTAAGCTGCCATGTGGCTGCTGGGAATTGAGCCTAGGTCCTCTGGAAGAACAGCCAGTGCTCTTAACCACTGAGCCATCTCTCCATCCCCTTCATTTTTTTTTTTAATGAAGGCATTAGTTTTCATCACGCTTTCTTCTTAGAATGAAAGGCTTTGAAACGGTATATATTAACACGTATTGGGCACTTTCTGTAGGATAGGCACTTCACAGAATGCATGTATTAGTTTTCCTGGGCGTTCTCACAGCCTGTCTGCTGATCTATAGGGCAGCTACAGGGCACAATGAAAGAGGAGGGCTGTATCGGTCTGGCCACAGGGTTGTGGGAACAGGAAACCACTTGTGTTAGTTATTCTTCCCTGCTGCGGCAGAATGGCTAATAGAAACTTGAGGAAGACTATTTTTGGCTGCTGGTTGCAGTCCATCCTAGCAGGGAAGGCATGGCGAAGGTCCCAGCAGTGAAACTATGCAGCAGGGTCCCTTACATCAGGGCAGCAGAAAGAAGCAGGGAATGGGATCAGACCTGAAGCAGGGCAGGGCAGGGCAGGGCCAAGGACCCTAAAGCTTCTGCCTTCCAGTTATACACACCCACTAGTCACACCTCTCATCTGCAAGGCTGCACAACCTCCCCAACAGCAGCAACAGCACCCAGAGACCCAGTGTGTGGACTAATGGTTCGGTTGTGGGGAACACTTTATATCCAAATCACAACTCCATCCAAAATAGCAGGATGTTGGTAGGAGCTGACTTAGTAGAGTGCTTGCCTCCCAAGGGTGAGGACCTGAGTTTGGTCAGTGGAACGGGGAAATGCCAGGGATAGCGGTACATCCCTGGGAGTCACTGACCAGCTAGCCTATTGAGTTCCACGTCAATACAGACCCTGTCTCAAAGAAATGGGCAGCCTTCCTAAGGATGATATGTGAGGTTTCCCTCTGGCCTCTCTGTGCAGCTTATCATGGATGTCCACCCAAAAACGTAAAAACACATGCATGTACATGCATTCACAAAATCAACATGTATGTGGTAGGGTATTTAAGGGAAAAAATGTATAAACTTTCTGCAATGCATAATGATAGTTGGGTCTACTCCAATAAAGCCATACCTCTTAATCCTTCTCAAATAGTGCTCCTCCCTAGTGAGTAAACAGTCCAATATACAACTTTATGGGACTGTTCTTATTCAGGCTACCAAACTAGTAATGATGGCCAGTGAGGACACCAGCTCCAGAGCTCGTATTGAGAGAGATTTGGTTTAATTTTCTCTGTGTGTGTGTGTGTGTGTGTGTGTGTGTGTGTGTGTGTGTGTGTGGTGCTTGTGTAGGCTAGAGGCATCAGATACCTGGAGTTAGAGTTACAGGTAGTTGGTAGTGAGCTGCCTGGTGTGGGTGCTGGGAATGGAACTTGGGTCTCCAGCAGGAACAGCAAGTACTCTTAACCACTAAGCCATCTCCAGTCTCCTGGGGTCCACATTATTATCTGGACTACCTAGGGCTCAGGAAGAACAATGCCCTTAGTTAGCCTTTCAGGGCTCCTTTTCTCGATGGGCACCCCCATGTTTCCAGTCCACACTGACCTCACAGGTAACCAAAGAAGTAGAGAAGAAGACAGCTCAGCATCAATTCCCCAGACTGAGAGGTCTGGTCTAAGTCATGATCCTCTGAGACCGGGCAGGCCTCCTGAAAACTGAGCAGAACCACAGCAGAAAGGGAGAAAGGTGGGAAGGTTGTCTGTGGTTAGGTTCAAAGTAAAAGCAGGCGATGGATCCCAGAGATGTACGCAGTATTTACCATACAGTGAAGACATGAATACCTCCATTCCAGCCTAACAGGGGAGAATTTGTTAAGTGAAGAATGACAATCAAGCTTCATAATCCTCGGAAGGGTGACATGAAAAGTGAGGATCTAGAGTTCAAAGACACAGAAACTGATGAAGAAATGAGCAAGTGGATCCGGACTGGAAATATAGCTCAGTGGTTAGAACACTTCCCTGGCAAATGCACGACCATGGGTTCAACCATCAGTAGACACACACACACACATGAACACACGCAGAAAGAGAGAGAGAGACAGAGACACACACACACACACACACAGAGAGAGAGAGAGCAAAGACAAGTGTCAGATATTACAGGCTGGCAAGCCAGATCCAGGTGTAGGAAATAGCAGCCACCACCATTTGGATGCATAGGCCACAACAGGCATGGAGTAACACTACCAAAATGCTCCCCTTGAGCATATGCAGCTTCATGAATGAATAGACTGGTACATATCACTCCACCAAGAAGCCACAGAAATGGAACAGGATTTAATAGTCTATAAACATGTGGGCTTAACTAGATGGCCAAGGGGGCAAAGGTCACAGTCAAATTCACTTTCTCCCACAGGTAATCAACATTGAGAATGAAAATGTCTTTGTTGGTTGCAGCCTGTATCACATATCTATAATTAAGGTGTCATGGTGAATACGCTGAAGAACCTAGGAGATGGGCCTCAGCAAAGAAGATGTCATTAACTATTGGACTGCTTCCAATCAGCTTTTAAGTATCATCAATATGGTGGAAAAGCAATGCTGTTAACAATACCAGGGCGAAGATCCTGGAAGGATTTCAGATCTAAATACAAAGTCTCTGAAAACACCAGAGGGGAAACTTGACCCGACCCGAATATTCCACATATGCGAACTCCAGAATGGTGGTGGTTCTCTTGGGAATATCCAGTTTCCAGGGAGACCCAGCAGTGACCCTTCTTCCAGGAGACCAACAGAAGTCGTAGTTGACAGGACAAACTGACTTTTCTGTTAACAACACTTCTAACCTTGTACAAGAGAAAGAAAGGGAGAGTAAAGAGGAGCTGAATCTAGTTCCCTAGGATCCCGGGAAGAAAAGACAACCAGGAAAGGGGTCTTATTGTTTAGGAAGGCCATACGATCTTCTCGGCTGTTGCTCTTTGCCTCCAAGGAGGCGGAAAGGCTAAAGTAACAACAGAAACAAATTCAGAAAAACTCACCCCTTTTCTGGACTATTTCTCCACCAATCCCCACGGCATATAGACAATATTTCAGAGCGCTCACTGACTAATTCAGACTTTCCTTCTGGAATGTGGTGCTGCAGTCAGCCCACTTCTCTGGCTCCCTCACACACCCTGGCAGGACACACCAGCTTCTTCCATATTCCCACAACCTCACATACATACGGCAGTTCTGTATGACACCTTACTGGCATTATCTCCGCCACTACACTCCTGCCTCTGTCCTCATCATTTACTACAAGTAACTGGTCAGAGAATGGTGGCTGGGTCTATGAAACACTTCTGGACATTTCTAATAGCACTGTTATACCTCCAGTCACTTTTGAACCAGGGACACCTCAAGAGCAAGGTCATTCTTACTCATCTCTCTCTCCATAGCCTGGCCTCAAGCGTGACAGTTCTTAGTAAACAGCAGGTGCAGTAAACGCTTGGATGATTAAGCACAACATTTCTCAGCTCGTGACTCACTAGGGGAAGAGTAGGAGATTAAACAATAGGATTATTGATAGAGGAGAAGTCATGATTCAGTCTAATGAAGATCATGGGCACTGGGTGGTGGGGGAATTGGCTAGAAAAGCAGTCTAGTTCCCATAGTTGAGAGAGGGCCATTTTTCATAAGCAGGGAGAGGGGATCACAGGAGACACAAACAAGTGGTGTTTTGTTTGTTTGTTTTGTTTTTTGTTTTTGAGACAAGGTTTCTCTGTGGCTTTGGAGGCTGTCCTGGAATTAGCTCTTGTAGACTAGGCTGGTCTTGAACTCAGATCTGCTTGCCTCTGCCTCCCGAGTGTGGTCTTAAACCCAGCAAGCCAGATACAATGTCTACCAGGCAGAAAAGCAAACAGTCTTAGAGAGGTTCCTTTCTTGCCCAAGGTAACCCAGTCTGTCAGTGTCCATCTCTTGGTGAGAATCACAAGGGATGGAACATCAGAGTAGCGATGACAGCAAAGCATATTTGTAACAAATGGGAACATGGGGAATTCCTTCCAAAATTGATTCCTAGAGACCAGAGCAAGCTGCTGTTTATTTATATTGGGGATGCAGTCTTTGGAGGCAAAAGGTGTCATCACATGCTTGGGTGGGGAGCAGAGTCTGACTGCATGCTCTTTCTACTTCCGTGTTATGAAAACAGAACTTGGAGATCTGCCTCTGAATTACCAGTGCACACCACCCAAGGAAGCTTGTGAAATGATATACTTCTCTAAAACCACCTAAAAGGTATTTGTTGAAAAAAAAAAAAAAAAAAAACACCTTATCTTTGGGGTTCAGAATACCATCCTTTCTGATAAGCTGGGAGACACATTCATTTTAACCCCAATAGTCAACGTTTCTCCCTGACATGGTGGTTCTTTGCTTTTCCTGGAACTGCCTACAACCCATCCTAGACTAGCAGGGCAAATCCTACAGAGCAGGAGTAGCCAGGAGACTGGGGTTTGGAAGCATCCGCTAGGACAGAAGGTTGTTTTCTGTGGTTAGAGCCTGGAAATTAGACGTTCTTGGCCGCGTAGCCAAAGGCTAGGCTAATTTTGGTCGTTCAGGGCTTCCATAGCTCGCAATGACTCCGGGACTCACTGCTCGTGAGACTGTAGAGATCAATATTTTACAGTCCTGGGCCAACGAAAACGGAAAAAGCGCGGATTCTTCCGAACCAACGAAAGCCGTAAAGGGAATGCAGCTCCAATCAGGACGCCGGGAGATTCCGCCCTAGGAGCTGGCGCCGGAAGTGATGCGTGCCGTCACTTCCGTCGCACTGGCGGGCGCCGAGATGGACGCTCCGTGGGCTCGGGAGCAGCTCCGGCGGCGTTATCTGTTTCCTTCCGAAGCGGGGCTGGACTGCGAGGACGACGCCAGGGCAGGTGAGGCCCCACGGACTCTGGTTCCCAGGGCTCACCAAGTGTGACTGCGAGAGCGCCAGGGTCCCGACGGGCCTTGCAACCCTCGCACCTTCCCCTGAGCTGCGCTTCCGCATTCTACGGCAAGCCGACGTCCTTAAAAGCTAAAAGCAGCCGAAGTTTCTTAGTCTGCAGAGTTAACCCGAGAACCTATACCAAGGCGTGTGCAGAGTGTTGCATTTCAGCCTTTTGCTTGTAGTACGGCACGGACGGAAATGCCTGCTGCCTGTCGGCAGAGAGCTAGCTAAATATGTTTAGATTATGTGTATCTCTGCCTGGTACGTCAGGTAGGCTTTTGTGTATGCCTGCGGGCGGTTTTCAAAGGGAAGCGCAGAACAATGTTTGGCATCCCACCATTTGGGTACAAACTACAACTCATGATATATTATTGCTTGTAGATGCACAAAATAGGGAAGAATTCCATAGGTACTGATAATGTTGAATGCTTGTAGGCTGTGAGGATGAGACAGTTCATTTGAGAGATGTCTGGCCTGGATGTTGTAAAAACCTTTGTCCACTTAGCGGTTTGTCCACTACCGGCAGCATTGAGCCAAGGCATGACAATATATGCATTAGGAGAGTATCTTCAAGAACTTGTATTAGTACTAACCGCTATCAGAATAGTTAGTCTGTCAGAATCCAGAGCTGAACCTCACTTGGAGGCCAGTGGTTCTCATGTGACAATACAGAGAGGGCATGCCAGGATCTCTTCTTTTGATTTGCAGGGGGAGAAATGACTTGCTGTCATCTGTGCATACCATGCTTTGTTCTGGGGCTAGAGCTCTGGCAGGCCATTCTGTGTTTGAGCTACCTGTTTAAGTTATTTTCATATAATGTTTATTGTATTTAGCATTTCCTCTTTGTGTGTGTGTGTGTGTGTGTGTGTGTGTGTGTATGCATGTGTGCTTATTGGTACATGCACTTTTGGAGGCCAGAGATTGACACTGGGCATCTCCCTCCGTCAGTCTCCATATTATTGTTTTGAGACCAAGTCTCCTTGGCCCCAGGACCCACCTGTCTCTGACCCAGCAGTGGGGTGACAGGCGTCCGATGCCTTGTTCAGTTTTCTGAGGGTGCTGGGGATGAACTCAGGTTCTCATGTTTGAACAACAAGCACTTTACCCACCGAACCTTCTCATCCCCATACATTTGAGGGTTTTCTCAGTTAGCATGACTAATTACCTTCCTAGAGGAAATGTGAAATAAATTCCTGTACTTCTGGATGGTACTGCTGTATCCTAAAGATTATGAAGGTGTAAATGTGATTCCAAGATTACTTAGAAGGAATAATTAATATATTGAGTGCATTTTCTCGTGGGCTTGTATTAACTATTTTAGCAAATGTAAATCTACCACTTTTGTTTGGATGTTTGGTCCTTGGCATAGAGCTCAGGGCCTCATGCATCCTAAACATGTATTCTATTGCTGGACTACATCTCTGCCCCTATATATAGAAACTTATCTTAATGGTCTTGCAGAACAAGCTGGCAATATAGTGGGAGGGATTCTAGTTACTGGAAAGTTCTAGGAGATGACTTTATATGACTTAAAAAACTGGTTAAGTGCATGACTCAAAATCTCCCCTATTTTGCAGAAACCTCCACAGCTGTTGAAAAAAAGGAGAAACCTCTTCCAAGAATTAACATTCATTCCGGATTCTGGATTTTGGCATCCATCGTTGTGACCTATTATGTTGATTTCTTTAAAACCTTTAGAGAAAATTTTCACACTAATAGGTAAGAAACCCCGCTTCACTGGACAGTGGTGGTGCACACCTGGAATCCCAGCCCTTGGGAGGCAGAGGCAGAGGGATCTCTCTGAGTTCAAGGCTAGCCTGGTCTACAAACTGAGTTCCAGAACAGCCAGGGTTATGTAGTGAAATCAAAGAAGGAACAAAAAACATCAACAAAAACCCTTGTTGCTTCATGTTTTGCAGGCTACAGTCTGTTGGTTGAATTCTCAGAATAGTTAAGACATGGCTCAGAGGGTCAAGTGCTTGCTGCTACAAGCATGCTGACCTGATTTGATTCCCAGAACCTACATTAAAAAAAGAAAAGAAAAAGCCTGCAATTCCAGTTCTGGGTAGGTGGGCTTATGGGCCACTCAGTCTATCCGAATCCGTGAACTCCAAGTCTAGTGAGAGAATAGACTGAGAAAGACCTTTGGCCTAGACACACACACACACACACACACACACACACACACACACGGAGAGAGAGAAAGAGAAAAGAGGAGGAGGTGGAGGAGGAGAAGAAGAAGAAGAAGAAGAAGAGAGAAACACATACCAAAATCCAGTTAATTGTTAATTGTTAGTTTCTGTCAGACATGATATTGGAAACAATACCGATAGTACAGAAAAGACTAAGACATGGTAGCCAAAGGGTGCAGCCTTTCACTTCTAGTAAGTTCTTGGGGATTTAGTGTATGTAAGATCTTAATTGTCCTCTTCCTGTCTCATGTGGGTCTCTCAGGTATCCCCTCCCCCCTTCCCATAACTCCCATAAATACAGTGTTAGCTATGTGATGTGCTGGATATGTCAATTAGCCGACTCTAGTAGTCATTTTAAGATGTTGTATCCAGTAGATCATCACATTGTACCTTATATGTATGCAATTTAAATTGTCACTTGTGCCTCCAGAAGACTGAAGGAAAAAAAAAAAGGCCTGAGAACTAGAGGAGGTGTGAGAACTGTGGCCCAAGAAAGGTGTGTCAGAGTAGTTAAGAAGGAGGTAATTAGAGGAGGTGACTCAGAGTTGCCTTGAAGGTAAGTGGGAGGAGTCAGGGGCCTGGGTCTGAGTCCTGGTGTCAAATAGCCCTTCATACCCAGGAGAGCCCCACCCTTCATTCCAGGAGCTGACCGGGGAGCAGAAATTGTGGATTGCGTGGGACAGTTTGGAGGCCATCAGATCAGAAGAGGGGGTGATGTGGATGAGTGTCAGAGCTGGCACATGAGTGTAGTGCCAAGAGCGGTGACTGGACTGAACAGTGGGGCCATAAAAGATGGAGGCAGGAATTAGGGCTTGCTGAATTATGGGAACTACAGTCCTCAAATAGACCTTTAGGGTCATAGACTACTTGTGGAGGAAACCAAGCAGACAGAAGGGACGAGCCGTCAAGGGTGCAGGCATGAAATCCTGGGGAAGAGACCACTTGCTCTTCCATGAGGAGGCATGTTTTTAAATACCACCACCTCCCATCCTGCCATCCTATTCACCATTCCCTAGTGGGTCGTGTGATTGTCTGAGGGAGTTGTAGATGAAGAACTGGAACCCGGCATCACTCTCTTGGGTGTCTGTACCCTGAAGGAGGCCAACTTTCCTGTCTTTCCACGCTTTCCTTTTGTAGAGGTGACACTAACACGGTGGAGGTTTTCGTTGTGGTCTGGAACCTAGGACTAAGTCTGTCTGTCTGTCTGTGGGATTTAGTGTCAGGAAAGGTTTGGTTACCACTCTCCAAAGCTCTTCCCTCAGCTCCATCAGTGACAAAGCCGACACATGATTTTAATCAGCCAGTAATGTTCATCTCTCAGCTGGTTTAGAACTTGCTGGGCGAGAGGTGAGTGCCTGAAATGCCACTCTAGCAGCTGCTGTTTTCTTAATTAGAACTTGGGAAGAGCCCAGGATGGGTCTGGTGCGGAGGCAGGGGCATTTCTGACTTCAGCAGTGCATTTTTTGCTGTAGCAGACTCATTATCCAGGCTGCATGGTGCTGCTGGGTAGGTGTGTGTGTGTGCAGGATGTCAGAAGCCCCTGATAGTGCTGACTGGAGAGCCTGTGCTGGGGAGGTAGACTTTTGGGCTTTAGGTGTGTGTCCTTTTATTAGACTTTCCTAGAAGTGCTCATTGAAATGATTTCATACAGACAATGTATGGGATTAACCACAGCGATAAGTGGGGGGATCGGAACCCCATGCCCTCCTGTGCCAGAGCCAGTATAGATATCAGACACTGGGGTGGGGCTGTGAGGATGAGAGAAAGTAGAAACCACAGGCCTGTCCTCAACACGTTGTGCTCATAGAGGCAAAATGACCACACCCAGACCGAGGCCACTGAGGTGTCTGCCACTTTTCCCAGTGCTGCCAACACTGTCTTTGCCTCCACAGCTGGTTTCTCTTTGGCGGGGCCTTGCTGTTCATCAGCCTGTCAATTGCGTTTTACTGCATAGTCTACCTGGAATGGTATCGTGGGATTGAAGAGTATGATGTCAAGTACCCGACACTGGTGCCCATCACAACCGCAACTTTCATCGCCGCAGGGATTTGGTGAGTGGACGGTGAACAGTTAAATGTGAGAGAAAAACCCTCGTTTTGTCGTCAGGCGATGATGAATGTAACCTGGAACCTAAATTGAGCAGCAGTGTCCCAGGAAAAGGGGTTCCTAGGTCCCCTTTCTTTGGGTCTCCTCTTAATTTCTTTCTCTCTTAATGCTTTGCTTCAGTTATTTGAGACACAGATGGCGGCCTCTGCACGTTGCTCTTGGTTTTGGTTACTAAGTGTCCTTCATTGTGATGGATGAGACACACACCAGGAAAACAAGTGTGGCTGAATGAATTAATCACCAGCTGGGCACTGCCGCAGGTCTCACTTAGGGAGGAGCAGAGCCAGTGTCCTGGTGACCGTTCTTGACCCTTCGCCCACCGTACCTTCCTGCCACATGCAAACGCTGCCCCATTTTTGCGGCTGTTCTTTTGCATCCCATAAACACTGCTTTGTTTGCCCGTGTTTTGAACAGTCACCCTTCTTTAACATTTAATTGCATGTGTGAGGTACATGCTGCTCACTTGTAGTCGTCTCCCAGCAGTTGTTCATTGCCATTTGTCACCCCACTGTGTAACTGAATCCTAGTGTATCTGTTATGCTGCCACACAGTCAGGCTCTTACAGTTTGTGTTGTTTTGAGGGATGCCGTTAAGAACACCCCTGGTCCCTGTTGGGCATACATGCATCTGCATGTACCCAGAAGGGTGAAGTCAGCGCATCACCGAGGTGTACATACCTCCAGCTTCATTAGATAGCATCAGACTTTTCTGTCTTTCTTTATCTGTGGGTTCCACAGTCATGGATTCAGCCAGCCACTGTCCCCCAAAGTGAATGCTGTCTGTTAAGCATGTACTGCCTTTTTCTCTCTTGCTCTCTAACCAACATAGCTCACGGTTTGTGACGCTCTGAGCATCCTAGATGTATGGCATAAAGATGTGGGGGAAGGTTCAGTGATCTGCAGATAAAGTACGTAAGTCGCTTGAGTATTTGGAGATGTTGTGTCCGTAAGATATTGGAGCTAATGATCCCAGGTTTGAAGGGATATCTGTCCCCTTTTCCCTGTGTGTCTAGTGGCACAGCGTACCTGTTGTTCTTCCACAGTAGAAGTAGCTGTGCATTTTCAGGGTTACGTGTCTTCCACAGTAGTGTGCACATGCCAGGACTGCTCGACCCATTTCCTGTTGTACACAACTAGTTTTATGTTCACGCAGTGCCAAGTGATTCCACTTAAGAGAGTGAGCTCACAGGCCCTCAGTGAAGAAGAGAAGCTGGGAAAAAAATAGCACTCGCTCACAGAAGAAAAACCCGTAAATTACAGGAAAGCGTCTCTCAATTAGAGAAAGCCAGGCTTCAGCTCGTGGGCTTCTCTTCATGTAAAGAATTCTGACTTTGTAAGAGTCCTAAATATAGATGTGGACTCTGCTTGCATGCACTTTCTTTGACCTACTTTCTGCTCTAGTTGGACAGCTCGCTACTGTGAGGTCAGTATTGCCCTTTCCGGTGAAGGAGAGACAGTGAGCAAGGTGGTTTCCCTTTTGTCTCCTGTAGTGGGAGCATCCCAAGAAATGTCAGATTAGTTTTTAGACCTGGGGTTTGTGATTATCTGACAACCATATTTATCCAGGATTGTATATTAAAACCCATAGCTGACTAAAGAGCTTATTTAATTTTTTATGGTTTTCCCTGGTAGCTTCTGCTCTGATCAGATCAGTCACTGAAACTTGCTTTTTGTTTTTAATTTGGTGACAGGAATACTTCTTTGTTTGTTTTTTTTTTTTTTTTTTTTTTTTTTTTTTTTTTTTTTGAGACAGGGTTTCTCTGTAGCTTTGGAGGCTGTCTTAGGACTCGCTCTGTAGACCAGGCTGGCCTTGAACTCACAGAGCTCCCCCTGCCTCTGCCTCCTGAGTATTGGGATTAAAGACTTGTACCACCACTGCCCAGCAGGAATGGTGTTTTTTTTTTTTTTTTTTTTTTTTGCAGTGAAGATTTTATAGCATCGTGTACAGCATTCTGTTTTAAGAGCCATATCTTTTTCTTACCATGATGTCTGAGATCATAAAGCGGGCTGCAGCTATTTGAATTTTTGGTCCATCCTACATGCTAACTTATAGTTGGAATTTTCTTTGTGCTGCCAACCAACTTCCCAAGTAAAGACACTTAATCTCCCTACCTGCAAATCCCACCTGTACCTCCTCCTTCACTATTGGCCGGTCAGCTTTTTATTAGACTAACCAGGTGCCTTCGGTAGGCAAGATAAAACAGCACCTAGTACATCTTTACATAGTTAAATATTCTGCAACATATCCCCTTTTTATCTAAATGAAAAGAAAGGGTTTAACTTTAACATAGACAGTTATCAAATAAGAATTACATTTACTATATCCAGTCCATTTGCATTTGGCAAATTCAGAGAAAATACTCCATTATCCATCTTATCTTAGTGAGTTCAAAGTTGTGTATCTAGTTTACTTTCTATCCTAACTTGTATTTCCAACTCAAAATTGTCTTTCTAGGCCTCAATACATTTTCTTCAACAAAAAATTTAAGCTTTTATGTTTCTCAGCCTTATAAACTTTTTAATCTCTTATGTAAGTTTCTTTTCTGACTTTGGTAACAAGAAAAACTATAATTACCTCATCTTCAACTCCATTAGAGATCCAAGAAAGAAATTACCTGAGTAAACAGGAAATGCAGAGCAAGCAACTTCCAAAACTAAAGAAAGAACAGAAGCAGGTAGATGCCTGAACAGTTACCCAAGGTTCCTCTGCACTTGGAGGCAGAGGAGGTGGATCTCTGTGAGTTAGAGGCCAGTCTTGTCTATAGAGGGAGTTCTTAGCCTCCAAAGCTACAGAGAAACCCTGTCTTCCCAACCCCCCCCAAAAAAACCCAAAAAACAATATTTCTGTCACTAAATGAAATAAACACTTTCTAAAAGCAAAAGAGTTTCAGAGTTTTAGGCCTAGAATATCTGACAGACTTTTCCATGAAGCGGGAGTTTTGAAGGACTGTCCCACCTTGCCTTGGTAAAGATTGGCAGTCTTTTTCCTTTGTGTCTTGTTGGTCTAGTTTGTATATTATACTGTAAGCAGTTGGGGCAAGGGCAGTTTCTTGCCCAAATGGCTAGCTTTGTCACACTGAAAGTGAACTCCATGTGGAGTTTCTTCAATGGCCATCATTCGTGCCAGGAGCAGACGTGTCTCACTGTCATGAAAAGCCTTAGGATATTTAACATCTTAAATGCCATATTCTGTAGTTCCCTGAAGTATTTGAATATCACCTATCTAAAATATACCTGTCTTAACTTTGAAAACATACTTGACTATGAGCTTGATTTTTATAGATGACTATTAACCTGCAGTTTTAAATTATCCTAACACTTTGTATTACATTTTTCAATGAGCTGCATAGATGTAATACCTTAAACTTGAATAGAAACATATATGGTATAGCAAAAATAACCTTAATTTTGTATCATTATACAAAAATCCATACCAATGTTAAATATTTGAGATGAATAGTTATCTTTTTATCCTATATTCCTATATCCCTACTAAATGATGGAAACACCAAAATGACCCAAAATCACCCACCCCACCTCTTGTGAATGTGGGCATTGTGTTCTCTAGACTGCTTCCTGTTGTCTGGGGGTGATGGCATCCCCAGGGAACTCTGAGAAAATTGAGATATTGGTCAGATCCTAAGGAAACTAGCTATAACATTTGTTGGAGTCTCTGTGTAATGGGAAAGTGCAAGGCTTATCAGAAGTCCTGGCTAGAACAGTCTCATCTAGCCAGACCATCTCAGCTAGCAATTCTGAAATTAGAACTCTGAGGAAACGGTAACAGAGGTACTCGGAAAGGCTGGATTACCTGGGCCACACATTTTCATTGATATCTGATCTCCTTGCTCTGAAAACACACGAATTTTCAAAGGTAACATATCTGCATTAACACAAGTATAGACTGTGTTAAACACAAATCAACCAAAGATGATTTTCTTGTTTTATGTTTGAGCAGGTAAAAGACATCTGCCAACTTTGTAAGTTTGTTTGGACTGTATAACCAAACCTCCATGCATACTGTGTGAAGAGATGGCATGTAATAACAAGTGATAAGAACTCTGTAACCATCAAGATTTATCACGTCTCATCCAGTCTTAGAGCTGTTCCCATGTCAAGGAATCATCATATACATCACCCGTCCTGCAGTTTTTCTAGGCTTATTTTGTTACACCTGTAGCCAAGATTGTCAGGGGGTCTTCCCCAATCACATCTGGTCTTTATTAATTTTGAAGCCATCCACAGCCTTTCATTTCCTGTGGAAAGAAGCATAGTCTCTTCCCCAATGCATATGCTTTCTGAATTCCATTTTAAAGTTAAGGCATCCCTAAAGTATCTAGGCTGGTTTAATTCAGCAATTACTTTTATAGTTCCATGTCTCTCAGCAGCTGCTGTTCACTCATCAGCATTCAAAGAATCCAGTTCAGCAAAGCAGCATACAGGATCCATGCTCTCTGTATCTTTTCCATACTTGCATGGCTTTTTTTTTTTTTTTTTTTTTTTTTTTTTTTTTTTTCACTTTACTCTTTCTTTAAATACTTATTTTTAAACTACCTTTTTCTATGATGGTCTATACCCATTTTCTTTCTTAAGCACCTATGCACATGTAACCTGTTAAAGGTTTTTTTCAACCTGGACTTGCTTTGCTGTGCACCTGTAGTATTTTCTGACCGTGTGAACCAAGCTACAAACTGCTAAGTTAGGCCCTCTGCCATGTGGCCCTGGAAGTTGACTCTGCCCCCTCCTCAGGTCCGTGAGAACCAGGCCTTAAGCCCGCAGGCCTGGAAGAGAGCTTGATTAATTAGGAGCTGCATTTATTTACCAAGAGCTGCATTAGCCACCCCAGCTCAGGAAGCTGGTGCCTGCACTGTGGCAGGCGATTTTACTTAACTTGCTGTTTCTACTTAGCATGTCAGCTGCTCAAGTTCTCTGCTACACAGCAGACACAGCAGAGACTCTTAAAGGAGCCGTATCCTGGCTTTTTTTTCTCTCTCTCTGTTTTTTCAGGCCCTATGAGGAAATTTGGGGCCCATATTGGGTGTCATTTGTAGTTGTAGTTTTTCTTTGGACCACCAGCCAGCTTCCCAAATAAAGACATGGAGACTTATTAATTATGAACACTCGGTCTCAGCTGAAACTTGTCCCACTTGCTCTCGATTTAATCTCTTTCTCTTCTCCTACTTTTTGCCTTGGGGCTTTTTATCTTTTTTTCCACTGTGAATGCCCTATCTTTCTGCTTCCTCTGTGTCTATTTGTCTGTCTGGCCCTTGGCATCTCTTCTTTCTTCCCTGAGCCTAAATTCCTCCTACTTACTTTCCCAGCCTGCAAGTCCTGCCTTATCTCTTCCCCTGCTGTTGGCCATTCAACTTCTTATTAGCCCAATCGGGTGCTTTAGGCAGGCAAGGTAAAACAGCAACACATAGGTACATAATTAAACTAATGCACCACATCTTTATGAAGTTAAACAAGTGCATGGTTAAACAAATATTCTGAAACACTTGACATCTGTTGAGCCACGCCTCTTCAGGGCCTTTGTGACCCCAGGTCCAGGTGCTATTTGAAGCATTGGTGCTGCTCCTGTTTGTACAGGCATCGTATCATGGTGTTGTGTCTAAAGAGACAGAACGTATGGATACACAGTTTAACTCCAGACTCTGGGGTGGAACATATTTGTGTCATTCTGATTGCCGTTGTCAGCTGTTTGCTTTTGGTTTCTTTCAGCTTCAACCTGGCGCTGTGGAATGTGTGGTCATTCTTCACTCCCCTGCTGCTCTTCACTCAGTTTATGGGGATCGTGATGTTCATCTCGATCCTCGGATAAGTTCGAGGTGAGATCCCTGGAGTGCTGTCCCCAACAGTGAACCGTGACAACGCCTTGCAGTCACTTCCTGGGAGTACTCAGACAGACTGCCTGGGAATCGCTTCCTCTTGTGTGTGCACCAAAGCACTTCACCATTGAACACAGCTGCAAGGACCGAACCCACCTTCACAAGTAGAGTTCTAAGTGCCCGTTTTTCAGAGACCGCACCCTGCCTTTCAAAGGACTTACAAAGACAGCATGCTAGTCTTGATGTGGATAACTTCACGCGAGGCCATTTTACATTGTGTGGATGATCTGAGAGAGAAGTAGTATGGGAGTGATGGGTGATCTTGTCCAATTTGGGACACATTTTGCCATTTTCTCTAGATAATGGATAGGTAGATTACATCAGCCCTATTTTAAAACATTCCTTTCAGGGGCTGGAGAGGTGGCTCTCTGGTTAAGATCACCGCTTGCTCTTCCAGTGGGCTCAATTCCTAGCATCCACATTGCGGCTCACAACCATCTATAACTCTAGTTCCAAGACATGTAACACCTTGGCCTCCACATACATTAGGCATGCATGTGACCCACATACATACATGTAGGCAAAACATTTATGCATATAAAATAAAAATAAATCTTAAAAATCCTTCCGTAGGAATTAGACTCCCTGCTTAAAACAAGCAAAAAAAAAAAAAAAAAAAAATCTGTTCTTTTAATACTATTTAGAGAATTTATGTGCCCCTGTGCCTCCCCTCCCCACCCCCACCTTGCCCTGTTTGGGAGTGTCGATAAGTCTCTATTAAATGAGTATACATATTGAGAATAGTCATGCTGTGATTAGGGCAAAAAATATAGATAGTCCTCCCTCCGTTCCACTCATCTGAATTTGGAGAAAGTCAGCTGACAGGACCGTTTGCAGACGGCAGAGGTGGTCTCGGGGAAAGTGGGAGTCAGCAACTGAGTGGCACTCAGGACCAGGTCTGCCGACTGATGGAGTGTGTGTGTCCTGCAGCTGGGGGGGGGGTGTGTGGCCGGAAAGAGGTACACTTGGTCCTGCTGCTGCTAGTCGGACGGAGTTGCTGGCTGTCACCATGTTGACACAGACATTGTCCTCCAGCATTGCACAGTTTTTTAGAGACTACTGAGACTCATGGGACCTCTTGCCCTGTGCATATGTCACTTTAAGCAGTTCAGGGTCCCTGCACCATCCTCTTCCCACAGCTTTGGCTGACCCTGACTCCCACCCACCCCCACACGCAGTGACTGAGATCTTGGGCTCTGGCTGTTTGGTTGGGTTTCTAGATGTCTGTGTGCTTTTGACTTCCATGTTCCTGGGTATATGGTTGGTGGTGAGACCTGCGTGGTACTGCCAGGCATGTAGATGGTCCTTTTTTCCTTTTTAAATACTTGTATTTATGTGTACGAGTTTTGCTTGTATGTATGTGTATCACATGTGTATCTGGTGCCCACAGAGGCCACAAGAAGGCATAGGATCCTTTAGGATTAGAGTCAATTAAATTAATTAATTTTTGTTTGTTTTCAAGACAGGGTTTGTGTGTGTGTGTATGGGGGTTGTGTGTGTGTTGTGTATGTTGTGTGTGTGTGTGCAGCCTTAACTGGCCTGGAACTTGCTCTGTAGACCAGGCTGGCCTTGATCTCACAGAACTCCACCTCATCTGTCTCTGCCTTCTGAGTTCTGGGATTAGAGGTGTGCGCCACCATGGCCCAGTTTATATTTTGTTTTTAAAGAGCAATTCATGAGTTTGCTGAGCGGTGCTGGCATACGCCTTTAATTCCAGCACTCGGGAGGCAGAGGCAGGTGGATCTGAGTTCTAGGCTAGCCTTGTCTACAGAGCTACACAGAGAAACCCTGCCTCACAAAAAAAAGAAAAAAAAGAAAAGAAAAAAAGGAAAATCTTGACTTTAAGATTCTTCATGTGGTATACAAATGCTCTTCTTTTCTTCCAGACTTAAGAACATGACTGTTTAAAGTGAACCAAGTACACAGCCTGTGCCACCGACATGAAGGAGAGGCCTAGTGTGCACCGGTGTCTCTGAAGTGAGTGGATCCCATAGGAAAATTGTGACCTTCTAAGTCTGCTGTTGAAATCAGAATAAATGACTTTCTCTTGGGTGTTCTCAAACAAGTGATTAGTTGTCAGCAGTTTGTGTGAGCCAGAACCAAGGAGTGTGATCCTGTCAGATTTGGAGACTGTAGTGGCCTGTTACAGGAGCACAGCGTGTCCACAGTTTTAAAGGGCCTGGGGACTAGCTGCCCTTGTGTAAGGTGACCAGATGCAAGTATGAAGGGATTGTGTTGTAATCTTTAGTAGTCACTCATATTTGTCACAGCTTTTTAGGGAGCGGACCAAAGGGGAGCATTTTACGATTTCCCGTTACTTTGGACTTTGCCATTATGTAAGTTATTGGGTTTTTAGCATTTTAAAACATATGTACTTTTAATAATGGTTAAGTATATATAATTTTTTTCTGTAACATCAATAAAATATTTTTATGACTTTCTTGTGCAGTTTGTTAATACAGATTTGGGTCTAGCTTCTGTTTTAGCTGTTTGCAGTGTGGATTAACTGGAAATAATGAAGCTGCTTTTTAGAATAGGGTTACCCTGTTCTTCATTGACCCCACAGCATCCAGTGTTTATGCTTTGTAGTATAGATAACACTCCCATGATGCTTATCACAAGCGTTGTGGATTTCTTTCCCTGTGAGGTGACTGAGGCAGTCACTACTGGCATTTGGGCCCACCACACACTAAGTGGAGGACTTCTGATTTTGAAACTACAAACTGGAAATAATACTTGTCTTTTTGGGGTGGGGGTTAGGGAAATAGAAGTAATGTTTGTAAGGCACCCATTCTAGTCTCCAGGACATAGTAGGGCTCAGTCAGAGAATAAGAGTGAGGAGGGGAAGAGAAACAGGTTTATGATGAGTCACACCACCTTGGACCTTGTGTATGAGGAAGTTTGTGGAGACTGTTACTTAGAATAGAGAATGACCTGGCAGAGTCAGAGTCAGCTAGCGAGGGTCTCAGTTATGAGGACCCAGAGCAGGCTGGAGACTGCTCATCTACCAGCTAGAGTGGCTGTCTGACCTTAGGGAACATGGCTCTGATAGTTGCTCACATGGGTTTTGTAAACTATCTTGGCTTGAATTTTTAAAATTAGACAAAGCCCAAATACTGTGGGCAACTAAAATGGTAGGGAGAAAACTCTGTTACTTAGGAACCATTTAATACTTTAGCTTGAGCCAGGCCTGCTGGTGCTACTTGAAGCTACTCAGGAGGCTGACATGAGAGGATCTCAAGTTCAAGGCCAGCCTGGGCAACTTAGACTCTGTCTCAAATAAAGAAGGCTGGGCCTCTAGAGTATTTGCCTGGCATACATGAGGCCCTAGTTTCATTAAATTAAATAAGCAGATACACAGACACACACACACACACACACACACACACACACACACACACACACGAACACACGATCATTCCTGACAAACTCCTACATGTTATTTCTGGGGCTTTTAAAAAATACTTGTTTTCATTTGTAATTGTGTTGTGTATGTGTGTATGGAAGGGTTATGTGCAGGTGTCCACAGAGGCCAGAATAGGGTGTTGAATCCTCTGCATCTGCAGTTTCAGGCATTTGTGAACTGCTCTGTGTGGATGCTGGGAGCTGAACTCTGGTCCTCTGTAAGAGCCGTGTGTGCTCCTAATGATGGTCATCTCTCCAGCCCCTAACCTTTGTTTTTATTACAACCAGTAAAGAAATGAGTGATGTGATGCCATCTCAAAGAGCACCCCTTGAGAAATGATGAATACTGACATTAACAGTTGCAAAAGTTCTGATCATCAGAGTGAGGGCTGTGACAGAATCAAGCATATGCTCTGACTCTGACAGTGTGAAGGAAGACCAAGTTTTGACCCTGGCTCCTGGTGCTCAGGCCCAGATGCAAGCTTGGTTGTCTTGCTGGAAGTACCCCTGGGTGGTTCCAGTGAGCAGCCTGGGTGGAGGCAGTTCTGGAGAAGCCAGGGCATTAGGATAGGGGGAACATATTCAGATGACAGTGGCATTTAGTTGGCAATGATAGAAAGATGAGGACTTCTCAAGTCTACTGGGACCTGTCTTGGGAGGCATTGGCTTTTCCAGGAAACCTGAAGCAAGATTCAAAGCTCCTGACTAAATCCACTTTCTGTAACAAAGAAATAGTCTCTGGGGGCTGGAGAGATGGCTCATTGGGTAAAGCTCTGCTGTGTAAACATGAGGGCTGGAGTTGGGAGCAACCGGAACCCATGCAAAATACAGGTGTAAGTAGGAGTCCACCTGTAATCCCAGTGCTCAGGAGTCAGTCCCTGGAACAAGCAGGTTAGCCAGACCACTCTAAATGGCAAGCTGTAGTAGGTTTGGTAGAGACACTCCCTGCCTGAACTTATGCAGTAGAGTAATAGCAGAAGACACCCATGTTAACCTCAAGCCTTTACACACATACACATACCACACGCATGTGCTTCCACATATGTGTACATGCATACACACACATGTACACTACACTATACATACTGTACTCTCTCACACACAAAAGCCTTAAGCAAATGAAATACCTCAGAGGCAGTTGAGGTGACACTGAACCAGGTCTCACTAAGGGTGGGAGGCAGGATCGTTTTGGGGGAGGGGGAGGGCCTGGGGACTGGGCTTCTGTGGCTGAGATTAGGATAAATGTTCTTTAGAAAGTTTGGCGGTGCTGCAGATGGAGCCCGGGGCCTCATGAGCTGTGTGAGCCTCCAGCACTGAGCTGCATTGCCTGCCCAGTTTTACAATTTCTTGCAGTCTAAATTTGGCATTCCTTGAAGTGGAAAGAGTTAATGGAGTCTAGTCAGCTCTCTCCAGATGCTTTAAAACCGAGTCACAGTCTGTGTTGTTTTGGGCACACAGTGCTAGTCTAGAGCAGCTCAGCCAACCCTGGTTGGGGAAGGTTGAGAAGACGAGAGTCCAAGACTATTCCAGAAAGGAACATGGATTTATGGAAGGCTTGTAGGTTCTGCAACTGAGGAACGCTCTCCCTATACCCTCGGAGTGTGATGATTCATTTCTAAATAGTCTGAGCCTCAACGATAGCTGCAGGTTTTCTTCCTTCATTCAGTAGTTTTGAGACTTGTACAGCCCAGACCAGCCTTGAACTTGCTATGTGCGTCAGGCTGCCCTTGAATGTGTGAACTTCCTATCTCAGACTTCTGAGTGATAGGATTACAGGCCTTTGCCACCAGGGCAAGTTTACAAACGCTTTCATGCCTTGCTTTGAGTGCAGTCCTCCTTTGGTGGACTGAGCTATTCCTGTCAGCATGCAAATATACAGTTTCCTACCTACACACAAACATCACAGCTCTCCAGTGAGGCCCACATCAATGACCACCCTGTTCAGCAAAACCACCAGAGAGTTTTCTCTCTATTCCTCTTTTGAAAAGAAATGGCATTGTGGTGTGGTGACAAATGCCTATGATCTCAGCCACTTGAGAGGCTGAGGCAGGGAGATTTTGAGTTTGAGGTCAGTCTGGGCTACATAAAGAGATCCTGTCTCAAGAATTTAAGAAGGTCTGGGAACATAGCTCAGTGCTTGTCCAGTATGTATAAGACCCTGGGCCACTGAAGCTTCAGAATAAAAAACTTTCATTATAGCATATGAAGTGTAAGGAATGAATTCCATTGTGTGTGTGTGTGATAGGATTCACAAGTATATGAAAATCTCTGCCCTTCCTAGTCCATACCCTGGCAGGAGTGAACAGACCTGAGTCCAGCCTGCTGTGAGCCAAATATCCCCAGCATCTCTCACCCTCCCCTGACCATAACACTGCACCATCTCTTGTGACCATCAGAACTTCCCTTACACAGCCCTGTGTCCCTGTCACTGGGGTCACCGGAGAAAGCCTCTCAGGTCTCCTCTGATCTTTGGACTCAGTCCCACTCGAGTCTGTATGTTCCGCGTACCTATTGCTGCATAACAAACCACACCCAAATGTACGTGGCCTGAAACAACAGCCACCATTTATTCTGCTCAGGCATCTGAAATCCGAGCAGGGGTTGGCAGGGACACCTTGTTTCTGCCTCACGGGGGCAAAACTCAGCTGAGACTGGGCAAGCCCCTTCCAAGATGCTTCACTGAGGTTGGCAGTAGGTGCTGGCTGCGGGCTTCATTCTTTGTTGACCTCTCTAAGGGGCAGCTTGGATTTCCCAGATTCAAAGGGAAGGGGTGTGGTTTTCACCATCCTTAAATGCATGTATGACCAGCTGACTTACGGGTACAAGTCTGCATCTCAGTTCTGAGAGATGGTGACTCTGGAGTCTACCAGCCTGTACTTCTAGTTGCTCTGACTTGAATCTTACAGCCCAGCAAAGCCAAGGACACTTGGGGTAGCTTTAGCAAATGGTACTAGATATGGTCTGGCAGGAACCAACAGGGAAATCATGGTGCAGATCTAAAGGGTTGGTGAGTCAAAACTGGCCTTCTACACATAAGTTATTTTCCATTATACAGCTTCTCTCCTGTTTCTCAGAATTAAGTGACCACAGGACCATTGTGAGCTGGGTGGTAACTAACTGGTCTATCCAGCTGTGAGGTTGGGCATATGCAGTAATGTGTGTTGTCAAGCCGGTGTGGCATGTAAGCCATTGAACAAGTTGACCTGCAAGTGGTCCATACTCCCCCCCCCCCCCCGGCTCAGACTATGTTTATAGGTACTTCTACGTGACAACCTACAACTACAGTAGTGGACAACTACAGCCTTGCACCAACCCTGATGGACAGTAGTCAAGAAAACCCCTTCCTATGAGCAGACTGGAGACCAACTGGTGTGTCTGGTGCTCTGTCTTGTCTGAATAAAGAGCTGCGAAGAGCAGAAACCTGCACAGTGCCATGGGTGGGTTCTGGAAGGCTCATGGCCAATATCTGAAGACCAAGATGTGGGGAAGAGGGCTGAATGGATACTGTATAAAGATCTGCATCTCAAAAGAACTCTCACCAACAGTCATCCACTGGGTTGAGTAGTTTAACATACTAACAGAAGGCTACAGTAAGCCCAGCAGTAAGATGGGTACCTTATTCTGAGCATCTGCCTGGTGGGAGGGTGGGGTTGTGTTGGGCCCTCTTACCATGGAGGGAGGGAGAATCCACCCTCCCCCTCAACTGGACACATAGGACCTCCCTATGTTACACCACCATGTGTGTACTTATGGGTGTGTCATTGTCATGAGCTCTCACACACACTGATGAAGGAGACTAGGCCATGGGAGGACTGGAAGTCTTAGCTTACTCAATACGATGTTTGTCTTGTAGGGGTAATGACCTAAACTCAATCCCCAGAGCCTACATTACAAAAAGAAAGCATGGTGGCACACACTTGTATCCAGCACTGAGGAGTGGTGAGTGGCTCTCTGGGGCTCACTGGCTGCTGCCATCCTAGCCTAGGTGATAAGTTTGGGTGGGGAACTTGAACAGTGCTGGAGAAGTGACACTCATGGTTGTCTTCTGGCCTCCACACATGTGTTCCCCCCCCCCACACACATATGACCATGGTATTAGCCCAGAGCCCCTTTTAGTGTTTACTGGAAGGTCTCTCTGGGAAACAAAAGGGTAGGAAAAGTAGCCATGTGAGAATGAAGTTTCTTATGCAGTTGGTAGTATTGTGCCGAGGATTTCCTACTTTGACTCTTACACCATCACCAAGACTAGAAGGATCAGGAAATGGCCTGGAAGGTAAACGGGGATTAGCCACAGATCTGCATGGGTTGTGAGTGAGGATTCTCCACATTAGCCATGGAACTCTTAGGATATTGAATATTATTGCAGAAGGAAAAGCACTTTATTTTGACCTTGCCTGTAACCAGCCACCATGGCATGAAGCTGGAAAAGACATGCATGATGTATGTGTGGCAGTCCCCTAGCTGTCAAAGGCTCTTGGGAAGTTGTGGAGTGGCATGGGTTTGGGACTAGGATGAAACTTGTGGGCCCTTAAAATGGCATTTATTTGTCTATTTACTGAATGTAGACCTGTGGAGGTCAGAGGACAACTTGTGGAACTCTGTCCTCTCCTACCATGTGGGGCCGGGCATCAAACTCAAGTTGTCAGGCTTGGTGGCAAGTGCTTCTACCTGCTGAGGCATCTGGCTTTTGTCATTTCATTCTTTGCCCACATTGGCAGCCCCTCCCCATCTTCCTCCACAAGGAGAAGCTGTTACAGGTGTGGAGCTCCTGCCTCCTGGGAACCTGTCAGCCTTCTTAGCATCCTGGGATGCCTGTGTCTCCTGGAATGGCTCGGCAGCCCTAGGGTTGCTGGTTATCTCCCAGTGCACCAAGGAAACGGTGCCTGCTGTAGCCTCTCACCTGACCATTAGCTTCCAGGACTGCCCCGGCCCTAATGAGGCCTGGGGATCAAGCAGAGCGCAGAAAATACCTCCGTGTGGGCGATCTATATATAAATTGAATGGATGGGCTAATGAAAGAGTTTAAGAATGACAGCGAGGCAAGACCCAGGGTTCAGTGGGTCCAAAGTTTCCTACCCCCTTGTCCCCCACCCGCCACGACCATCTCAGTTACATACAGTGCCTGTGCGCAGATTTCTGTGCAAACAAACAAGTGGGGTTCTTTCTTAAAATATGAAGAAATTGAAATCAGCTACACTAGGGCGTTACAAACAAGGCAGAGCAGGCATCTCGTCCAGTGCTCTGCCCTGTGCTGCTCTATCCCGGCCCAAAGCCCCGACTTCTCCCCGTTGCTCTCCTCCTACCACCCTGCTGGGACTCCACTCTCCTCCAGGTCAGGGTCAACCTTAGGACACTCTTTCGCAGACACCAGCTGCACTTCCTCTTGGCACCAGAGTGGAGCGCCTCTGGGACAGACGCTGTGAAAGGCTTTGGAACTGAAGCAACTACTGGACTCCACAGGACCACTGGCACCCTTTTCCGGGCACAGTTTCCCCTGGAAGCAAGTAGCTTGGGGCCTGGGGTGGGGGCAGGGAAGGATGGCGCCCCCTTGGATACTGGTTCCAGTTTCAGCCAGCGTTGAGGCTCTCGGTCAGGTCACCAAGACACCTAAAAGTGACAAACGCAGAGACCCCCCCCCCCAAAGACACTATTCCCTGCTTCCCACCCTGAGTCAGACACACTGGTAGATCCAGGGCAGAGAGACAAAAAGCACTCATTAGACAGAGGCAAGGACCAGGACACACAGATGAGAAGGACCCTTGTATGCTCTGGCCTTGTGGGCCCACCTAGAATTCTGGATGTCAGGGACACAACTCTCGGCGCAGCCACGCCCTCAGCAACTCCCTGATCTGGCTCCCGCCACTCCAAATGTCCCTTGGCATCCCACCCCTCCCCGTCAGCCCCGGAGCCTGCGGGCGGCACCTGTTGCGGTCCCGCGTTTCCGGGGCGCCGAGGTGGGGTAGGCGGGCTGAGCGCGCACAGGTAGGGCAGAGGAGCAGCGGGGCTCGAGGCGCAGCGGCAGGGGCAACGGGCTGCAGGGACTAGAGTCGACAACAGAAGCTCCGAGAGGAAGGCCGGCTACTGGGACCTGCCGAAGGGCCGGGAGCACTGGGGGAGGGCAGGATCGGAGGGCACGGACGAGCCAGGCTAGTGCCCAGAGGGCGTGGGGAAAGGACACGAGTCAGGAGCAACGCGCAGGGCTGGAGCAGCCGCCTGGGGACCAGACAGGAAGATGCCCGGGGGCCTGGGCGCGCCCTCCTCTCCCGCAGCTCCCCCAGGCTCCTTTCCTGCCGCGCCGTCGGGGATCGCTGCATGCCCGCCGTCCCCGCACCTCCTGGCCGGGGAGTCTCCACGGGCCTCCGGTCCCCGGCGCGGTGCCAGCGTCCCGCAGAAGCTAGCGGAGACTCTGAGCAGCCAGTACGGGCTGAACGTATTCGTGGCGGGGCTGCTGTTCCTGCTGGCCTGGGCGGTGCATGCGGCGGGTGTGGGCAAGAGCGACTTGCTGTGCGTGCTGACCGCACTCATGCTGCTGCAGCTGCTCTGGATGCTGTGGTACGTGGGCCGCAGCTATGTGCAGCGCCGCCTCATCCGCCCCAAGGACACGCACGCGGGTGCGCGCTGGCTCCGTGGTGAGTGCAGCCGGGCAGCCCTCCACCCTCTCCTAGAGATCAAACTTCAGCTCCTTGCCTCATCTCTCCTGCTCTCCCCTTGGGTTTCCCTTCTCTACTTTTCTGCTCTCTCTCTCTCTCTCTCTCTCTCTCTCTCTCTCTCTCTCTCTCTCTCTCTCTCTCTCTGTCTCTGTCTCTGCTTAAAGTGTGGAGACTACCCTCCCCCTCTTCTCTTGGCACTCAAGGCTCCTAAGAGCTGGCCTCTTTTCTTTGGAGCCCTCATCCTGGGCTCCAGGCTGTGGAAGAGTCTTAGTTCCAGTCCGTATTGAAAGGTCTTTGCATGCTGTCTTTCTTCTCTTGAATGTCATTCTATCCTCACGGCGGTCCTGCTTTCCCTGCCTGGGCTCAGGCCTTCCTGAGCCTACTGAGTATCCTACCATCCCATTCCATTGGGTGTTTCTGCCCACACCTCCACCATTGCTGTGGCCTGGACACTTCTTTCTCATCCAGGCAGCTGCCTCTTCGCTGCGCTGAGGGGAGCCTGTGCTCCTTGGTCCTAGCTTGGAGGCCTGGCTTGGAGAAGGTACTGAGAGGATGAGGGGAGTCCTGAGGGCATGGTCCCAAGGGACACCCTGGCCTAGTCAAAGGGGGCCAGGGCCATGCAGGGCAAAGGGAGAGGGCTGGGATCCAGGGCAAAGGGAGGAGACCAGATCCAGGGCAAAGGTGGCCTCCTGCCTGCCGCTTTCTCATCTTAGACTGTAATTTCCCTTAGAGCCGCTTCCCAGTTTTTGCACACTTGACCTCTGCCAAATACCTTGGTTCCCTCTGACCCCAGCCCCAGGCTGAGCCTCTGGAGAGGGGAATCTCGGGCTGGGTGGGACCAGATGATGCTGTGTGTGTGTGTGTGTGTGTGTGTGTGCGCGCGCGCGCGTGTGGTCACTTCAAAGGTGTGACCCCAAGTCCCTTTCACCGAGGCCATGGGGTTCACCCTCTTGCCTTGAACAGAGACTTTCAGGGATCAGTTTATCTCGCCTCCAGTAAAAGTGTACACTACTACAAACTGCCTAAGTTCTTGAAGATGGAGACTGTAGGGAGTTAACAGGTTGGTGAATTGTGAAGGGGGGCGGGTAGTGTCACACAAACAGACAAGACCTGTGCTCTTGCCCCAGGATGTTGACATTTCCCCTCTTCTTTCCAGAAGCATCCTTTTCCCTCACCTCCTCTCTCCTCCATTCTTTTTTCCTTTGGCTCTTCTCCGACCTCTCCCCTTTCCTCACTTCCTGTCCCTCCCTTCACCATCTTTTTTCTCCTTTCTCTTCCCTTCACTCTCTCCATCCTCCCCTCCTTTCCTCTCTGACTGGCCCTCCTATTTCCTAAGGCTGGGAAGCCAGAGGGAGATGCAGGCCAAGGTTCCCTTGTGGACAAGCTCCGTGTCCTTCAGACACCATGTAGAGGCGAAGTAGATTGGGCTTATAGAGAACAGTGCCCTCGCGGCAAGCTGTGCAGACCCTCAGGAAATGGTGCCAGGAGGAGGGGAGTGGGGACAGGAAAGGAGGAGGAGAAAAGGGGGAGCTAAATTGGGCAACAGAGGGCTCATGGTGTCTGTATGCTCAGAGTCAGGGGAAGCCAGGACTGCAGGGAATGCTGAATGGCTGGCCCAGGGGACCATAAAGGCCAGTGTGGGGTCCTGTGGGGGAGTCTGGAACCACAGAGAAGGGGGGAATCAGCATGGGTTCTGTGGGATTCCAGGTAACACCCAGGAGAGCAGCACACGACAGGATGTGTGGACCCTTCGGAAGTGGTCCCGCAGTGATGTAGCCATTCCAATGTTACACATGTGCTGAGCAAAGGCTGTTGGCCCTGGAAGACAGGGCTGGTACTACCCACTTCCATCTCCTTCAGCTTTCAAAGCCCTAGCTCTCACATGGTAAGAATCACAGCTACCTCCCGGGGAGGAAGATGTTGAGAGAAAGCAGTTTGCCATGACCTGGCCATCCCTGTGAACAGTTGGCTTCACCGGGAAGCAAAAAGACAGTTACCATACCAAGGTGCCAAGAGGAAGCACCCTGGCCTCTGTAGGGACTGAGGTTTCCTTTGGACTCTTAGCTGGAAAGACGGGTTTGTGGCAGAATCTCAGCCCTGTCTCTACAGGGGTGGTGATTGTGGAGGGTGGGGGGCAAGGAGGAGGTTGGTGTGTTCTGAGGCTGATGCTTTGGGATGGAGCTTCCTCAAGCCCCACCCCTGGAACTCCAGGCACTGAGAGTTTTTTTTTTTTTTTTTTTTTTTTTTTTTTTTTTGGAAGTTGTGGGGTTTGGTTTGGTCTGCAAGTTACTTCTTTGAGCAGGAAATATTCCATTTCCTTCCTGTGAGGGAGGAAATACTTTCTTAGCCAAAAAAAAAAAAAAAAAAAAAAAAAATACTGACCCACTTAAATAACTGGTAGTAATGTTTGCTGACTGAGGGAGGAGGTCCTCTAGAAGGGATGACTGTAGCGGAGGAGCCTGTGACTGTCTCCCGAGCAGCCAGCAAACTTCTTATCAATTATCACCTCTTCCCGCTTTCCTTCATTGTTAGCCTGCTCCAAATGTGATGACGTGGTGCATCCCTCCCTCCTTGCTTTTTGCCTGTCCCAAGACCAGAGATGCCTTGAACACAATTCAGGAGGCAGTGATGGTGACCATTGCACTTAATGAGTGTGTTTAGAATGCCAGGCTCATTACAGCCAGTCACAGCTGTTTTGTGAATTTATTCTGCAATTCAAATTTTCACAGTGTTTGCTTTTTAAGGAGGCACTTCCAGTCTTGCGTTTTTCCAGACCTCTGTCGAATATGCTATCGCAGGCCATCCCTGGGAATGGGCTGCATGGGGGGGCTGAGATCAGTGTTCCCAGAGGAAAGGGGACAGATGTGAGCTGACTGTGAAAGGCTGGTCCAGGGGTGGTCACAGGACAAACTGCAGAGCTGAAGGCAGAAAACACAACGGTTCCTGCTTGGAAGGAGGCTGTCCATGGTGACACAATGGTGTGTGTGTGGGGGGGGGGGCATCATCAGGCCATGAACAGAGGGGAAGAGGAGGAAAGGGGTGGAGGGAAAGAGCCAAAGACGGGGAGGGAGGAGGAGGGAAGAGGCAGTTGGGCTGTAGGACAGGCTGTCCTTGCTGTCTGTCCAGGCTGGCATCTGCTCATCTGCTGATTTCAGGGCAGGTACAGCAAGCTTGAGGCCATATCCCAAACTCCACTTGGCATCCCAGGATGGAGGTTCATCTTAATCCTCAGCCCTGCATCCCTGAGGCAGAACTCCCCAAGATACCCTTGTTTGCTTGAGCTTCGGCCCCTGTCATCGGCACGGCGAGCCCGTGTGTTACTGCCTGAGGTGGCCCCTCGGCTCTCCCATTTGAAGCAAAGCTGCTGATTTTTTTTTTTTTTTTGAGTTTATAACACAATTATCCCAAATCCCCTTTTCCTTTCCTCCCTCCAAACTCTCCCATTACTCCTCCTTGCTCTCTCTCAAATTCTGTGCCTCTAGTTCATTAACTGTGGACAAGTACCGCCAGTTCCACAACTGGCCAGCTCTTATCACTTCGACTCCGGCAAAGCAGCCTAAGGCAGAAAGAGTTTATTTGGCTCAGAACCTCACAGTCAGAGATTACAGTCCCCCATGACAGGGAAGCCACAACACCATGGGCTTGAAAGAAGTGGTCACTTCACGTCCACATTCAAAAGCAGACAATAGATTCATACATGCTCGCTGGTGCTGAGCTCTCTCTCTCTCTCTCTCTCTCTCTCTCTCTCTCTCTCCTTCATTCAGCCGATGGTCCAGCATACGAAATGGTACTGTCCCCATTAAGACAGAGTCTTCCAAATCCAGTTAACTTAAGTCCCCCACAGGCATGCCCACCGATTATCTAGACAATTCTGCATCGAGGCTTTCTTCTCAGGACATTCTGGAGTGTGTCAGATGGACAGGCCATCACACACCTCAGAGAGAGAGAGAGATGGATGCATGTATAGATGAACGGGTATATATGTATGTATGGGTGAGTGGATGGGCTGATGAATGGGGGAATGTATGAGCGGGTGTGTGGATGAGTGTCTTAATCAGTGTTCTCTTGCTGTGAAGAGACATCATGGCCACAGCAACTCTTATAAAGGAAAACATTTCAGAAGTTCAGTCCATTATTGTTGTGGCAGGGAAGCATGGTGGCACACAGGCAGACACGGTGCTGGAGAAGTAGCTGAGAATTCTCCATCTGGACTGGCAGGCAGCAGGAAGAGAGAAAGACGCTGAGGCTGGTTTGAACATTTGAAACCCCAAAGCTCACACTTACTCCAACAAGGCCACACGTCCTGATAGTGCACTCCCTGGTGGCCAAATATTCAGACAAATGAGCCATGCCTACTCAAACCACCATAGTGAATAGATGGATGGATGGGTGGATGATGCCAGAAGCTCCAGGAAAGAGGATGAGAGCTCTGGGAGGCTGACTGCACTTGTAATGTAAGGAAGGACTTCCTAACTGAAGCAATATAGCCACTGCTTTGGGTGACATACTGTGAGGCATGGTGAGCATCCCAGCATGCATGTCCAGCTGGAGGCCAGGTGCTGGCTGGTCACGATGCACTGGGGAGTGTCCTTCCAGGGGACAGAGATGCGGATTAACTGTGGGACTGTCCATCTGAAAGTATTCCAGACTCCAAGCAGCAGAAATGTGCTGGGTATCTTGGGCAGTTCCTGTCAAGTAATATAGCTAGGTGATTTTTTATGTTGCAGTCAGAGGATCACTTGCGGAAGTTGGTTTTCTCTTTCTAACCATACGGGCTTTGGGGACTGAACTCGGGTTGTCAGGCTTGGTGGCAGGTGCCTTTACCTGCTGGGCCATTTAGTCCCCACCGGAATGCTTTTCAACTTGATTTCAACTCACTGAGTCTTCTCAGTACCCCAAGGCATTGTGGGAGGCAATGTTACCATTATCTCCATATTACAGATCAGGAAACCGAGACCCAGAAGTTACATAAATGCTCA